TTCCAACGCTCATGAACATGAATAAATAATTCTGAAATTACGGGTCGCGTCAGTCGTCCTCCCGGTGATTCTATTGCATTTCTGTAGTTATATTTCGTTGAAGAATCTCTAAGAGAGGTAAAGAGGGAAATTAAATCGAAGAAGCGAGCAGTCAGTCGTTCTTGAATCATTGTACGCGATGGTCGAAGTACTGGCGTATTATAGTTTCCCTAGAATTCTCTTAACAGTAATAGGACTTTGGCCGTATCAAAACACGAGATTCACCATTTTAAAAAACAGCTTCATCAGTTTCAGTTTTTTTCTGTTTATCGTGGCACAGGTGCTATGATTATTATTTAATTTTTCTTTAGTTTATTATGAAGCTCTCACACTTTCTTCGATTGAATACAGTAACGAGCGTGTACTCAAGTATCTGCATTGTGATAATAGTGCCATTATCCTTATATACACATTCTTTTAATTAAAAAAAAATTTTTACAACATAAAATTTTGAGTTATATTTCTGGTATGTGAAAACGGTCTAAATCCAAGTGAATGTTTCAAAATCTGAACCTCATTAACTAAAGATCCATTATCGTGGCACGTTTTCTTTTTTAATTTATATTTTTGTACAAATATTTTTTATTATTACACGATATTTTTTAAAATTCTTCAATTCAGTAGTGATTGATTTGTTTCTATTAATTCCATGATCATCGAAATTTTTGATAACGAATAGTCCAGTTAATAAATTAATAAAAAAAGGCAGTAATTAAGTTAAATTAAATTGTATTTTTTTAAAAACTTATATATGTTGCCATTGTATATTATGTTTACTTTCATTGAACGGGAATATTCGTCAAATACCTTTCTGTGAATATTTCCATAATTCATTACGTTTTCCAGTTAATGGTCTTCAAAACCAGGGAATTCATGCTAAAGTACGTTTCGTTCGTGCTCATAAGCTTGGGCTCTTTTGCAAAATACAATATAAATTGGTATCAACTTCGTACAGTAAGTACTCGATCGTCTAGTTAAATAAGAATTCGCTTGTAAGAATTTTGCAGAGTACACAGAAATCGTAAATAAACGTAGACGAAGAAGTTTATGGACAAAATAAAACGCGACATT